TAGGATGCATTAAGAAATACTAGAATATAAAATATGTATATATGTATTATTATACAAGTCATATAGTCAGTGATGAAATTTAAAAATCAATTATGATTTGATAAATAAGAGAAAACTCAATTTTAATACTAGATACAATTCCCCAATTCCGTAATTACTGATATAAAAAATTTTATTTTATATTTTTATTTAATACATTTATTTTAAATTATAATTAAAAATCACAATTGTTATTAGTTCATCCGTATTATTAATTTAATTAAGAATTTACAAAAATTTATATTATTAATTCCAGTTCTATTCCGGCAATATCATTAATTCCAGTATAGTATTACAATATTTTCCCAAAAACAAAAAAAATAACTCAATTTATGAGAGTAAAAACGGATTTTGAAGCCAAAATTATTCGAACTACAGCAACCTACTATAAAAAAAACAAAATCGTACAGAACCGATTCAAAACTATTAAATTACATCACTGTCTGTAGTTCATCTAAACAAAATTTAATTAATTATTATATTATTATTAACTTTTTAATTTTTGTTTTTGTCTTTTTAGAAATAATTAAATGTTTTTATAGTTAGTTTGATATGCTTATGTATATCTATAACAATTATTATATAAGATTTATACTATATGTGTAAAATTTATTTTTCATAAAATTTAATTAGAAAATTCAAAAAAATAATAAAATATATGCTATATATATAAAATATTGTAGTGAAATATAACAAATTTTATTACATAAATATATTCAATTCAATTACGTATAGATATTAAAAAATTTTGTTTTATCAATTTTTTTCTTTAATTAAAATAGAAATTATTATTGATTAAATTTAAAAATCAAAAACATGTGAACAAATTTATTAAAATATACCAAAAATTTATTATTTACCGATTTTCCTTAATTCAATGAATATTATTCTTGTTAAATAAAATAATAGTAAATTATTTTTATGATAGGAAAATATTTTGTTGTTATTAAACAATTAAAAAAAGAAACTATGTTAAGTGTAATGAAAGGATTATTTTTTTTTTGTTTTCTTAAAATTACTGTATCTAAAAATTCTTAATTGTTAGGTGTAAAAAACTTTATGATTTGTTAGCAATTTTGCTCAAAATTAGATTTTTTTTTTCGTAACACTTGATTATAGATTTTTCAGTGAAAATGCCGAATGTGGGCAAGAGAGAACATCTTACCCTTCGGGCTACCGAAATCATTCGCAGTGATTGGTATAACATTTTCTGTACACTACAATTTTTGGTATCAGCTATTAATGATATTAAAATTTTTAAAATGATTTTTTTATATTTTTTCATTAAATATAACAAGAATTAATTTATTACATAACGCCTAATTACACACTACCTATATATTAATAATTTTGTTTGTATTATAAAATTTCATTAATAATATTTTAAAAATATTTAAATATGAAATTGTTCTTCATTATTTTTAACAAAATATTTTCAAGTTTTGAACACAGAAATTAAAAAAAAAAAAACAAAATAGAATAACTATATATAAATATTTATTTTTAATTTTTATGTAAACTTTGATTTCGAAAAAAGCAATTTCTGTTTCGGTTTAAGACAATTTTTTCCTTAAATCTACAAAATTATTAACATTAATTTGAATTCGTTTCATATTCTTTATATTCAATAAACGGAAAATAATCAAAAATACTGAACTACAAACAATTTTGTTTATTTAATTTTTATTTTATTTTTGTTAAAAATTAGTTTGAAATGTTTTTACATTCAGAAATCTGAAAATTTTTACTTTTTCTTTTCTTATCTTACATAAAGGCTCGTGAATTTTATTAATCACAAAAAGAGCGTGTGCAAAAAAAAAACAACCAAAAAACTAGAATTTGATCTACATTTACATTATATAAAAATAATATATGTCTGTACACCACTATAACTTTACCATATTGTATAATTTTAGAGGAAATGGAATCCGATTGTGATAAATTACAATATAACAAAAAATTTAAAAATAGCAAATATAGAAAAAATTGTGGAAATCACAATCAATATCAAAAAGAATTGACAAATTTACAAAATAGAGAAAAAAAAATTATAAAAACTATTAAGATTATAAAAGAATATTGATTGGAAGTTAATCGGAAACTGTATCGGAACTCTATTCGTGGGAATAGTGAATATAGAATAAAGTAAATTTTATTTTTTTGTTGTTTTTTAATATTGTAGCTGATTGTAGTAAGATTTTTGAATTCAAAACAAGAATATTAATGCACGTTTGCATATCTTTAGCAATGATGATTTCAAAAATAAAAAATAATAAAGATTAAACATCTGCTCAGACATTTTCTCTTAATTTATGGAATTTAATTTTATCTGACCATTTTCATCAGTTTTGTTATATTATTTGGTTATATAATTTTTGAATGAATTGAATTTATTAAATAGAATAGGTAAATATAAAGAATAAAATTTATAGGAAATTTTGAAATATATAGTTTTATAAAAAAAAATTAACTAAAAAGCAAACGCTCATAAGCTTCATTTTTCGGTTTCAAATGATTATTAATAAAATATTATATATATAAAAATAAAAATTTTGCCTTTAATTTTGTAAATTTAATTGTGAAAATATTCCAATATATTTTAAAATATAAAAATAATTTATGAAAAAATTTTAATTTAAAAATTTAATGCAGTAAATAAATTTACTTTTTAAACTAAATATTGAATTTTTTCCAAATCTTATACTACCAAACTCTTCCATAATTTTTTTTTTTTGTTAATTTAGCAATAATTTCGAAATTTTGGATTTTTTATTTAAATTTATCTAAATTTTGTAAATAAAATAATTATACTATTAACATTTTTAAATTAATTAAAAGTCAGAAGAAAAAATGATAGTGTAAAATATATATAATTCAAATAACAGGGTGATTTAAAATTTTCTTATACGAAAATTAAAAAAATACAATTTTGTAAAATATTTTTAGTGAATAAATACAAAAATCAAATAAAAATTAGACTCAGTCTATATAGTTCAACGCTATTTATAATTCAACAAAACAAATTTTAGTATAAATTCCAAATATTAAATTTAATGTTAAATTGTACATAAAAAAATTTAAAAAAATTTTTAATAAAAACCATCAAATCTAATAAAAAAAATCACATAATATTAAAAATATTGTAAAATATTATAAAATACAGATAATAAAAAGAACCATTGAAATTTTTATAAAATATAAGTTTTAAATTAATATTGTACAAAATAAAAATTTTAAAAATATAAAAAAATTACATGTAAAAATAATTAGAATATATAGAAAATATTAATTGAAATGTTTAATTTCTTTAAAAGCAATATATAATTTTTTAGTTTTTTTTTTGATGTTTAAATAAGTTATAAGTAATAATTGCATTTTAATTTGAATGAAAAATTTTTAAACACTATTTTTTAAATGACTAAAATATGCGAAAGTTTCCATACTTTAACATAAAAATAACAATTTGTTAAATATAAATCAGATATTCAAAGTCAAAGAAAAAAATTGTATAAAATAAATTTCATATATTAAATTTTTCCTTTAAAGTAAACAGTCTATAAATTGGAAATTACTACTTTTATAGCACTTCAATTTGATTTATTGCTTATTATAATTAATTTCTTTATTTAAATCAATTACTTTATATTTTATCATTGAAAAATATTTTAATACATACGTATATTAATTAAATTATTATTTTTAATTTTTAAATAATATTGTAAATTTAAAATTGGTGTATCATACCCTTACAGCATCATGTATGAGACCAAAACAAAAATTATCAAAGTTATTGTGAAAATTTTTAATATTAATAATGTTAAAGATATTATAAGAAAATGTTATAATAAATATATTTAATACGTTATTCAATAGTATTTAGGAAAAAAAAAGAATAAAATTAAATAAAAAAAATTACAAAAATATATACATATATTAAATTTTGGTATATAAATTAATTTCTATGATATTTAAAATACATGAATATTAAATAGAAATAATTTATTTTTAAAATCATTCATAATAAATCCAAAGAAAAAAAAAAACCAAACTAAAATAATCTATGTATTATAAAACTAAATAATGAAAAACATTTTTAATACAATATAAATAAAAAATTTTAGATTTATAAAAAATTCTATTAATTTAAATATATAATTATATAATTTATGTGAACGTAATTTTTAATATTAGTCATAATAATGAATATTGTATTAATTTTAAAAAAAAATTGTTGAATAATATTTGAACAAATTTAATGCATAATATATTTTTTATTAATAAAATTAGAATGAAAAAAAATATTTTTAATGAATAGAATAATAAAATTGTGTATACATATTTAAAATTTAATGAATAAAAATGCATAAAAAATTTTGTTTCATAAAAAATAATACAATTGACAAAAAAATATTAATGTATTAAAATATCAAAAATACAAAATAATTTACAAAAATTAAGTGTATATTTCATTTAATTTTAAATGCAAAAAGAAAACCATTTATTACAAATAATTTAAGTTTATTGAAGTTTTTATTAAATATTACATTATATAAAATAAATAATATATATTGAATGTTAATAATAAATAGAAAAAAAAAATAAAAGAGAATTATTATGAAAAATAATTAATTTTTAATACAGAGATTATATTTAATAATAATAATAAAAAATTCAATATTTACGGTAAGATATAAAAATCATTAATGATTAAATTATATTTGAAACTATGAAAAGAATGCTGTTCATTAATGAAGAAAAATAAAATAAAAATTATGTAAAAAAAAAAAAATAAAACCATTTTGTTGTTTTAATAAAACATTACTTCCCGAAAATATTCTTAAGGGTTAGATGACCTTACCTATAAATTAGAAAATAAAATAAATCTTAATATTGAACAAATACAATAAAGCTTTTCTATAAATAATTTCAAATATTATTTATTGTTTTTCTTTTTTGTGAAAATGACATTGATAAATTTATTCCGAGAAATTGATATACACTTTTTTAAACAAATAACTTATTCTAGTTCATAATAGAAAAATCAAACATTAAAAAATATATCTTTCATATTTTAAATTTATTTACATATTATAAATTAAAAAATTAAATCTGGAATACTATTCCCGAATAAAAATTGCCATGATATTGGTATAACTAATTTAACATTTACATCTTTTTCAAATAAATTTACAACTTTACTTATTTCACCAACCAATTGTGAAGCTTCAACTGAATTATCTCCTTCAGAAACATAATTAAATAATAAAAATGCAGGAATATTTGAATTAATACATTCATCAAAAAGTTTTTTAGCATTTCCACCACCAAAAATAATTTTTTTATTATATTTCTGCCATGAGTATTGATCCAAATTTTCATTTATAAATTCTCCACTTTGCATATAAGCAAAAAGTGAACTATTAACATCATGTCTTTCATAAGCATGACTGCTACTCAAAATATAAGCTTTTGATATTTTATTAGTCGTAATAAATTTTAATAAATCCTTGTGAAATTCATCAATATAAACGGAAACTAATGGTGATCTTAATTGAAATACCACTAATTTCTTTTCAGCATCTTGATATAATTCTAAGGATACAGTTTTTGTGTTATCGTGATGATAAGCCGGTGGGCCTGAAATGGGCATTCAAAGTACTTAATAAAAATTAAATTTTGTTATTAAACATTAAATAATAAAATTTTAATGTGATTACCCATTATTGGCATACAAGCATTATGATAACCACTTCCTATTCTTTTCATTTCCAGCGTAGCTATTATTAGATCTACAGCTAGTTGAGCAACATTTCCTACACAAATGCTAGGAATTATAACGCTATATCCAGTTAAATCAACATCTTCTTTAAAAGTTATCATTTTAATTATTTTATAATTTCAATTTTTAAGCGAAAAAACTATAAAATGCGAAAGGAACTTGTAATATTAACTATGCATATAAACAAAAATTTTAATTTTGGATTGTCATTTTACTAATAGTGCGACCTGACGGTACATATTGTAAGTAAACTAATTACTGTCAAATAATAAAAAACATGTTCGACTGTTTACATAGGTAAGTTATTCGGAAAAAAATTGGAATATATATAAAAATTTTACTAAACCATTGAAATATTATAACTTGCCTGTTTGTTAAACGGACACATTGGTTAATTAATTTTTATGTTTACAAAATTTAAAAATTTGTGACCATATACTTATTTTTATTTGCGATTCTATATTTATATCTCCAAATATATAAGTATATATTTTATTTATTTTAATTTAAAAAATATTTATGTATATAAAAATAAATTAGAGTAATTATTTCTAATTTATGCTCTTCAAAATATATTAAAGTGATAGGAAACAGAAAAAAAGGGTGAAAAACGGAACAACTAACCGGGTGTAAACACATGATTCATTTTTGAAGGCTTGAACTAAAATACAACATCTATGTTTGTATACATTTTTAATAAGAACGTCAAAAAATACTTTAAAATTTATGATAACGAATTTCTAGCTGTCAAAACTTACTGCCTCTAGTAGTACGTACTAAAACTAAAATTTGATTTTTTAATAAATGTTATATGTCAGTACACCCCTGGAAAAAGCCGCTTCATAGCACTGTTTGTCGGCCATAGTTTTTGTGTAATTTTTAATGTTTGTGGAAACTATATTAAAATATTAATCAAATAAGTATCAAACATTAAATATTTGTTTAATAAATTAGAGTGAACTTTACAAGACTTTAATATAAGAAGTTTGGAATTGATTACTTTTGAAAGAAAAGAAAGAATTTGTGATAAAAGTTGAGAAAGTAACCTTCAAAATAGAAGGAATAAAACAATAGCTATTTTGGCTTGGGAATCTGTATTTTTGCATTAAATCAAAAATATTTTACTTATTTTGAATTAAATTACAAATTTTTAAGAACGAACATATACTCAAATGGCGGATGATATTGTGAGTGATCAGCTTGTTGATGGAGAAGAAGCAGAATATTCAGTGGAAAAAATTGAAGATAAAAGGATAAGAAATGGAAAGGTAATTTATACCGACAAACATTTGACGTTTAAAGAATTTGATATCGCTAATTTTCATTATTAGGTTGAATATTTTCTAAAATGGAAAGGATACTCGCGAGAAGATAACACATGGGAACCTGAGGAAAATCTAGATTGTCCAGATTTAATAGCTGCTTTCGAGGAATCTCTAAGAAGTAAGTTCCTATAACTGATTTTCGTTTAGATGGTGACTAGTAGACTTGAATTTTAAATAACAGAAATATTTTCAAAAATTCTTTTTGTATGAAATATAAAAAAGAATTGGTACAATCAGCATTAAATTCAAAATCAAAAGGTTAAATTTGTATGTACATATATACCTACTATACCTATTGAATCTAGCTTTAATTGGTTAAATAATTTCTGAAATTCTCTCTAGGATTGTTCATAAGACAATTAAAGCTAATATATTTTCGAATTTGCGCTTGCTTTAATGAATTCAGTGAATCTTAAAACAGCTTACTTCGTCGTGTTCAAAATAACTTATTTATAAATCACATTGAAATGTGATCCCCTAATTAATTTGTAGAAAAATTTAAAAACTTTAATTTTTGTAGAAAAAGAAGAACAAAAGGAAAGAAGTAATAAAAGATCTTCAACTAAAGAAGAGACAGCACCAAAACCTAAAAAAAGATCATCAAGTGTTGTTAGTGATGCTGATAAAGATAAAGGACCACAAGGTTTCGAAAGGGGTTTGGAGCCATCGAAGATAATTGGAGCAACAGATTCATCTGGTGAATTATTATTTTTAATGAAATGGAAAGGTTGCGATGAAGCAGATTTAGTACCAGCGAAACAAGCAAATATAAGATGCCCACAGGTTGTAATACAATTTTATGAAGAAAGATTAACATGGCACACACCGACCCCTGATGATAAGGATAAAGCTAGTAATGAACCAAATACAACAACGTCAGATCCATAAAGAAAAAATCAAAATACAGAACGAAATTACAAGAGTAATAAAGAAATTAACATCAAAAAATGAAAAAAATAAAATTTCAAAACAAAAATCAATTTTTATCATTGTAAAATAATTAAAAGATTTTTTTTTATTTTTAATTTTCCGACTTTAGAAAATAGATATACTTTCGTTTTAAACTATCAAATGAAGGCTCGACAAAATGAAAACCTATACAAATAAATAAATATCCTTTAAAAAAAAGAATTGCTAATAGGATTAATTTTTTTGATTATTGTTTTATAAAAGGATATTTTAAATATATATATATATATATATATATATATATTAACAAATGTATTACGAATAAAATGAGGTATAATATAATATAAATATGTAAAACATTACATTTTAATTTTTAAAATTTAGCTTTAATATTAAAATTTAATTTTGCAATATTTTGGTAATCATTTTGTAAAGAGATGCAACGAGACTGTTTTTTTATGGAGTTTGACATATAAAAGGCATTATTTTAGAAATTAGAAAATTCTTTAGTTAAAATGAAATAAAAAAAAAAAAGGATCTAAGAAAACAAACAATTTTTATTATATTGTGTGTTAATTTCTACATGATTTTCAAAATTTCGGAATACTTTCTTTTAAATATGACTGAAAAACAAATGTTTTCCTTACTAATCATATATTTTACTGATTATAATAACATTTACATTAAAAATGCATGTCTCATATAATTTTTAATACATACATTTCATATTTTATTTTTGGAATCAAATTTTATGAATTTTGGACGAAAAAATAACTTCCGAGTTTATTACAATTTTTTCAATCTTAATTGAAATTATGATTACCAGAATACTATAAGAATGTTTTTTTTTTTTAATTCAAGGAGTAAGGAGTACTTATTTACTTACTATTTTCATAAAATTTAAGTAGTTTTTTTTTTTTTTTCAAAATTCAAGTTCGTTATACCTTAATTTCATCAACTTTCAAACTTTCAAAAATTGTTTTAGTACATTACATGATGTAGATTTATATACCTATATATTTGTGTACTATACATATGAAATTATATAAAAGATATTTTTATTTACATACAAAAAACACAAATAAAATGACTAATTATGTAATAAAAGGTTTTATTTTACAAAAATTTTCCGTTCTTTTTTTTAAGTAGCTATAATTAAATATTGATGGTAAATTTTTGTGAGTTTTGTATACTATGAAACATCATCAAAAATTTTAGAATGAATTTTTTATAAGAATATTTTTTTATTTAACTAAATTTGATTTGTATTTTTACTATATGAAAAAGAGAATAATTAAAATTTCAAATAAGAATTTTTCTTCAAAAGACTATTTTATTTTTTTTTTTTAGAAACTAAGGTTAATTTCATTTATACAAAAAGAAAAAGGAAGAAGAAGAAAACCTGAAAACCTTTTAGTAACTAGGTAATTAATCAAAAACTTAAAAAGAAAGCAACAAATTTAAAGAAATTAATATAATTTTTCTATTAATTAATATTTTCTTGTTTTATTTCATAATCGTAAAGTTTCTTTTATAGTTAGACAATGCCTTAATGAGTTCATAATTGAAAATAATAAAATATTTTTTAAATGATTGTTTTTAGCATAAATTAAATCAAAATTTTATAAACAAATTAAGCTCTTGAACACTAAGATTTTCCTTTATTTATTGTGCTTCAGTTTTTTTTTATTTTATTTTCTGATTTTTATTCTTTTGCTAGATTTTGCATATAATTTTACTATGATTCTTTTATTACCATCCAGTTTCACGACAAGTAATTCCAGTGCAACGAGTTAAATTTTTCAAAGCTAAACTATATAATGCTCTTTCTGATGGTAATAATTTATTACCTAAATTATCTATTTGATACAAATCTGTTTGTAAATCATATATTTCCACGAAATTCTAAAATGAAAATTTTATAAATATGTAAGAATATTGGACATGAACAATCTGCAAAATTATATAAATACCTGATCATCTTTAAATTCACAATAAATACGATTTGTTCTATAGGTAAAATGACGTATACATGAGTATGTATTATTCCATGAATCTTGACAATGGCAATCGGCTGCGGCATTGCATAATGATAAATGATCAATACGTTTATATGGACAATCTGGATTCCATGTGTTATCATTACCTTCACCCCAATATTCAATCAAAATTTGTCGATGATAATTCTTATCATATTCATAATCACTTTCCTTTATACTTAAATATTTATTGAATGATATACCATCTTCCATACCAGATAATGGTATATTTGCTATATTTAATATTGTAGGATATAAATCAATCAATGCAACTGGATATGTTGATATTGATTTCGGTTGTATATTAGGTCCTCTTATTAAAAACGGTACTCGTATATCAGTTTCATATGGTTGACGTTTATCAAATGGTTGAGCAAATTGTCCAATATGATAACCATTATCCGATGTCAATATTATATAAGTATTATCAATTTCTTTTATTTTACTCAATTTATTAATAATATTTCCAATCATTTCATCAACTGCTAATAATGATTCCCAACGTTTTTGGAAATATATATCCATAGTCTCTAGAACAGACCAAGGAATTCTCTTACTCGATGATACAAGCCAATGCTTTTCTAAAACAAAAACAGAAATTATAATTTTAACTATACATATTAAAATTCTTCAAAATTTTTATGTATGAATCAATTTTACCAAGTGGGCCATAGACTTGATTAAAATTAGGTGTACGTAAAGCTTTAGTGCCTGTATATGAACCATTATGACGATCAGCTGGCGTAAATGGTTCATGTGGAGCCGGTGGGGTCAACATTGCAAAAAATGGCTTGGTTTTATCTTTTGTATCAAGAAAATTCAAAATTTTCTCATTTAACAAATCTGTTAAGTATTTATCAGAATAATTTTTAATTTTTCCATTCTCGGTCAATGTATAATTATAGTATTTTGAATTTCCATGTAATCCAAAAAATTCAGTCCATCCAGGTGGAACTTTTACTGAATTATACTAAAAAAAAATATTTACTCTTAAATTCTTAAATGTGATTTACCTAGTTATCAACTTGTAAATTAATAATTTTACCTCATTCAAATATTTACCAGCAAAAAATGTTTGATATCCTTCATTTTTAAGTTGAACTGGCAAAGATTTTGGTTCAATATGGGATTTCCAATGATTTGAATAGCATCCACCCGCAACTGAATTATTTTTGGTTTTAGTATTATGAGCATACAGACCGCTTAATAACGATGCCCGGGATGGACAACATATAGGAGATGATGTAAACTAAAATAATTAATTTTGATTTTTTTTATTGAATTAAAAAAATTTAATTATACCGCATTCATAAATGTGATTCCTTTCAAAGCAATATGCTTTTGGGCTTGGATCATTGGAAATAATCCCTGTAGTACAAAATCTTGATCATCCGTTAATATTAGTATTATATTTGGATCTTTGTTATTTACGGTTGCACCAGTTTTAACTATTACACAAATGGTATTTGTAATTATAACACAATAGAATAAAAATCTCAACAACATTTTTAAAATTACAGAACTATATTCACTAAAGTATTAAGAACAATTTTATCTTTGAATGTTAATTTATTTAAATTTAGTTTTTTAACTATAGTAATGTATTTTTTACATTAAAATTATATTTTATATTGAAATTATAAAATTATGGAGTTATTGGTACAACAGAGGGCATCACTTCCATTCCGATACATTCCTGCGCTATTTTAACACCCAAAAAGAACAATCCAAAGCTTTTAACTATTGACCTGTAACCAAAAGATTTTGTTATCTTCTTATTACAATCAGTAATGCAAAAAAAAAAAGGGTAGTTGAAAATAATTTTTCTATAAAAACATGTCAATAAGTATACAACTTTAATTTAAATTCTATGAATTTTTGTTTGAAACTTATTGAATTTTGAAATTGCACTAAACATTTTTTCCAATTATTGAATGAATTAGAAAAGTAACAATTAAGTTATTATGGATTTTGTTCTCTTTATTAAACCTTTTCCAAGGTTAAAAATTAAAATATTGAACAGTTCATGGTTCCTGTAGTAGTGCAAAAAAATTTATATCAATAGAAATAAATTGACAACTGAAACAAAAACCTTCAGAGATTTGTATATGATGCATGATGACATGAGAAAAGCAAAAAAATGAAAAAAAAAAAAATAACAAAGAAAAACAAAGTTCCATTAAACTTTCAAACGCATGCCATTATTTTCAACTTTTCTGCAACTTTGTAAATTATATTTCGAGTTCATCTTTAAAATCTTATATTTACTTACCATTGGAATTCGTTCCGATAAATACTTTTTAAAATTGCTATTGGACTAACTCCTTTCTGTGCCATTTTTTGTTTTTGAATTATTTTATTTTCCCTAAATTATTTAATTTTAGTAAAAATAAGTCACCGTAATTTACTGCCACTTTCGTTTTTTTTATAACCACGTTATTATTGGAAATATACTACACATAGCAATACATCCATATGTATCACATAAATGAAATGTCAAATTCTAAAAATAAATTTAGTGTTGTCAGTTACATTACTTATTCTCTCTTAATAGCTTGAAGTTCAAATTTTTTAATATCTTGTGGGCGTAACTTTATATTACATATAAAACTCAACTCATAGTTTTGATAAAATTTATATAACGTTAAACAGTAAGTGGCTATGTTAATCAACGTGTTAAAAGACTAAGTTGAATTGTGGATGGCCAACATGATATTTAGTAGATTTTTTCGGTTCATTCAATAAAATCAAAGTATCAGAGGGATAAATTTTTCTGAAAAAAAAAATTTTTTAGCTTATTTTTAAATAACAAGTTATTGAGTCAAAATTTGAATATTGTTTCTTGTGTTCGTGTCACAAAATTTTAATATTTGTAATAAGCACAAGTAAACTTGCATTGGGCATCTATATTTATAACTAGTTTTTTAATATTTTCGAATGGAAGAGTAATAAAAATACTCTGCGCTAAAATATATAATATTATATCATGTTATGTGTCAAATTCATTTATGTAGATGTTTTAAATTACAAAATCTGACAGCATGAATCGATAAGCAAAAAAAGCTTTTTCAATAAGTTTCTCTGACACAGTGCTTAAAACTTTACTATAATTTTATAAAGATTGTAGTTTCAGATAATTTGATGTCAAAATGGTTAATGTCTTTGCTAAATTAATCTGAATTTTTGAAACAATTTTGCTTCAATAAATTTACCAAACTTTGAAAGTTTAGTTTGCATTCTATTTTTTTAGTACACACTTAAATTTAATATATTTATTTAAATTTAATATTTAATAATTTCAAAAAATGTAATAGTTTATAAAAATTCATACAAAAGTGCAAATCCAATTGCATTTGAATATTTTTTTATTTTGACATGGATCAAACGAACAGATATTCAAGCAGCGTTGAAAATTTTTTAGCGTCATTTTATAATAATGCGCCTTCTTTCTTAAATTATAAGTGCATAACAGATTTTGAATCAGAAAAATAAAAATTATTTCTTAACTATTAAATTTGAATAATTAATATCATAATTTTTTGCATAAAAAACAAAAAGAGTACCAGAAATATTTAAGATAATAACGAATAATGAGTAGGTATAAGTGGGTGTAATTTACTTGGTGCACATAATGTTGGTAAATGTGCAGAATAAAACGGATTTCTTGTAAGGAATACATCAGGTTTTGGGATGTATACAAACGAAAAACAAAAAAAAAAACTAGGATGACCTTGATTGCAAACAGAAGCAAGTACAAAAACAAAGCGATGTTGAACTCTAAGGTTTCAGCGGCAAATTTCCACCATAATGTGGCTCAAATAAAATCTTCAAGTAAGCATATTATATTTATACATACAAAAATAGAATAAGTGAATATATAATAATTAAAAAAATATAGAGATATACATAATGATTAAATTATTTCATAATTAAGAATAATTTTGTATCTGTGTCTGTTCATATTTAATTTCGTTTGCGCAAAATTATAAAATTCAATTGCTAGGTAGGGGTGGATATGTAATATTTGAAGTTAATGCTATTTGATACGACATAAGTAGATATGAAGCTCACACGACATAATTAATAAGTATACTTAAATAGATAAGTTCATTATGAGTGTAAAACTACCTAGTACATAATTACCTAGAATTACTTAAGAAGACACCTACAGAGTGTAAGTTATTTTGTTTGGAATACATACATGCATACATACATATTTACCTAGATTTTATTCGTTGTGTCCTTAAAATATTCATAAGTACATAATTTAACTTTCTCCGTTTATTTTTTTTTTTAGATTCTACCAAACATATTTGTTGTAATCAAAGAAATGAAATCATTTAAAATTATGCTGTTTTACAATCGTACGCTTTTTATAACAGTAATTAAAACCATTTAAGATCCTAGCACACGTCTAGCAAAGAATAACTTGCTGATTAAATAGAGGGAAGGAAGTTAAACGTTGTGGGTACCTATGTACCTATTATTATGAAAAAATATTTAAAATTTTTTTCTTTTCTTAAATCAAAGAAAAATTACTTTCTAATAGTTGTAATAACCGAAAGATAAAGTTTTATTTTTCTTTAAGAAAATTTTCTTAAAGAAAAATAAAACAGAAACAATCATTTTTCTTTATCCTTTTATCCAAAATATTTTTAAAATTTTGCATTATTGTTATGTAGGTAGGTACCTACTACAACCACAGAGATCAAGTTTTTTAGAAACACGACCATAAATCTTTAAAAAATTTACCACAGCATTTTTTTTTTGTTATTGCAGATTTATTGTAAAATTACATAAATATTTCAAGTATATAGCTATATTAATATTCTTATTAAATACATAAGATGCTAGTTTAAAAAATATGTTTAAAATATATTCTAGTTGTAACATACCTAGCTACTCAAAAAAACTTCAAAAGAAATTTATAAAGAAGTGCTAAGAAATCTGCAATAAAAATTTTCAATATACAACAAAATATAAATAACTACTTAATGTAAGTGTTCAATTCATGTCATAATAAACTTTATAATAAATTTTAACTATTTTTTTTTTGGGTTCCTATAATCCATCATATTATCTTAAATAATTCGATACTTTGGAAACCTTTTTTATACATTCTAAGAAAACTTTCCTTATAGTTTCACACAGAAAAACTTTGAAAAATTCTTTGTAAAATTTATAAATATCTATAAACAAATTTAAAGTTAACTTTGAAAATTTTAAGTATTGTATAAGTAATTTCAAACTATATGCATTTAATAAAGATTTTCAATATTATTTTTAGATCGGACTACAAAATAAAGTAAAAAGAATGAACATCTATAACTCATATTTTAAGTTCTCATGGAATAGAAATACCCGGACATTAAACTTTTCAAAAGCGGGTAAGCTTAAATTTTTTGTGACCATTCTTGAATAAATTGTTATAATGATATGCAATTGTAAGAAGAAAATTTTCACGTATTATTATTAGAATTTAAATTTTGTTTGATTTTGAAGTGTGTTAAATCGTTTCACACATTATTATTTACTTTATAATTCAATTTATTGTTAAGATTAACATCAAATTGTTTAAGACTGGTGAAAATAAAATTGAATTCATTTCCTATTAAAGTTCAATTTATAATATTCATGTGAGCTCTGTGAATAAAATACAAGTTAATGAGACATTTTTGAATTTAGTACTAATACCTTTGCCTTTATGCTGTATTCTTTCTTGTATTTCTTTAAAAGTTTTCAAGAGCTTCTATTATGTATATTAAATTCTATTATGTATATTAAAAAATTAAAGTAAAATATAATTAAAATTAAATCATTTTATTTTGTAAATATGAAATGCTTATGTTAAATAAATTTTAAATTTTTATTTACGTGTGCTAGGACAAAAACATTTTAAAGAGATCCTTATAATTGATATGGCGACATGAATATTTTCTAATACTTTAATTACATTTTGTATATTGAATAGGTTTATGTGTGTATGTATGTATAATATATACGTAAAATATCAAGGATCTAGACCTTAAAATAATAATTGCAATTTCTACTTTTTTTTTGCTTTTAGCTGACAAACAATAAATTAATTAAATTATAGTATTTTATACATATACTGAACGATGGTATGGATGGTATGATGAAAATAAGCTGGTATGTTAGAAGATTTTCGATTTATAAATGACCTCAATATTTGACGGCTAAGGAAGTATTGAATTTACAAAAAACAAATCATATCGACATATTTCTTGCCAATAATGGCGCCCCTTTGTATGAATATTTTGTTCGCAAGGTTATAAAAACAATATGATCTCCCGGAAGTTTTTATCAAGAAAATTTGCTGTACACATAGGTAAAAAGATTTTTTAATAAAGCTTAAAAGAAAATTAATTTATTAAATGGTCAGGTCTGATAGATTTTATTAGATTTTTGCTTTGTGATTAAAGAGAATTCATAAAGTAATATTTTTTTTTTACAAAATTTATTGTAAAAACAACAATATTACACAGTTTATTATGAATTTTACTGCAAAAATACGGTTTATATTTTAATCTTGTATCTTTAGGTTATAACCTTAGGGAACATGTTATCAAATTTAAATATTTTTGTGGTATATGAATGTAATCAAATATCCTTGAAGTAATTATAATTAATTAACATAATATTTAAACATAATAAAAAAAAACAATACAATTATTAAATGAATCTTATATTTCATTATAATATACGTAATTTTCTTTTTAATTTAAAATAAATAAGAATATTTTAGTTTTCGTCATTTACTTTTATCCATCATTAATTAAGTTGACTTATGACAACTCTTTGTTTATAAAATCTTTACGACACTGAATAGAAATTATGTTGAAAGTTAATTAATTTAGAAAAGCAATTGTTTAAGTTAACAATAAAGTTAATTGAAATAATTAATTAATTCCATTTCAAAATAGATTTTCGTTTAATATAAAGACCTTCGATTTTTTTTTTGTTTCGTAAATGAAAAAAAAAAAGCGATTGCTTACAGAAAAATTCTTTTAACAATAGTCTGCGTACATTTTTAATTAAACAATATTAAAGATAATGATCATAACATGGAAAATATTCAAAAATTTGGTTTATGCAATAAATTATGTTAATTGTACATAGTTCAAATTATACAACGTTTCAGTTAAAATTGAATATGACAGTGTTTGTGAACAGTAATCTTGATGAATTGTTTTAAGATTTTTTTACTTACCCATAATAACAATATTATTTCGGTCCTCTAGGCTTATAATAGAATACACTTTTCCCATGTTACCTCTCTTTAAAATTTTTTTGTGTAGTCTGGTGTAGGATAAATACACAGTCTGGTAGTCTGGTGTAGGACAACTACACAAAAAATTTTAAATACTAAAAATAAAGGACGCTACAATTAGAATTTCAATATGAATAATACTGGTTTCTTTACCTCTCTTTGTGGAAATGTACGC